AAAGTTGAAATTTATAGTAAAAACATAGTAAGTAGACTCAAACTTTTGGAAGCAACTGTATTTTTTTATTGATTTTATATATTAAAAAAAAATTTTTTTTTATTTAATTATTATGAAACGAAAATAACGACGTTCAGTAGGAGAAGTGTGGGGACGTGTACGAGACATTTTTAGAAAAAAGAAAATTTTATTTTGAAAAATGTACAAATATTTATTTTTATGTTCTTAAAATCAATTATTTATAAAAATTTTTAATTTATAATTAATTAGGTAAATACTTTATACTTTTTACTAAAATTTTAAAAATTTTTTTAATTTTTTTATTAATATCTATAATATTATAGAAAAATTCTATTCAATAAATCTTTTATTTAAATATATATTAAGTTTAAATATTTTGAATTAAAACCGATAAATTTTGAAATTTGAAAATATAATTTTTGAATAAAAAATATTTAGAAGATTATTGTAATTTTAAAAGTAGAGTTATAAAGTTTATTAATATAGTTTAAAATAAATTTTATTGAAATTGTGTTATATATTATATAATTTTAATTAAAATTCTTTATTCATATAATTTTTATAAGTAATTATTTTAGTTTTATAATTATTAAAAAGTCAAAAATTTTATTCTTCTATAATTTAAAATTATGAATATTATTTAATAAATTTAAATTAAAAATATTTACCTAGAAATCTAAAGCTTTATTATTTGAACTATTAATTTATAGATTTTTAATTTCTATATTATTCCAATAAAACTTTATTATTATTATTTTTTTTTTTTGAGTACCTATAGTTAGGCTAGATTGTGAGTTTATTAATCAATTGAAAACACATGTATATTTTCATTTGAGCAGCATAATAAATACTATAGCTAAACTTCTTTTATTCTATCTAACTAACTCATCATAAGTATAAAAGTCTCTAAGTTCAGTTTTAGAAATAATATTTTACTCTATAGTATCTTTAGGTTAAGACTTTCCTAGTCCACTGTATTATTGCCAGCAGGTTGTCACTACTATATGTTATATCAAGCTACTGAAATACAGGAAACTACAAAAGGATGGATTGAAAAAAAGAGAAGTATATATCTAAAAATGATCAAGTTGATATATAAAAAAATAAAAAGAAAAAATAAAATAAAATTCTCCAATTTCCTTCAAAGACCTGTTTCTCGAGACTTCTTCTTAATAAGAAATGTTCAATTAAAATATTCTTTCTTCTCCTAACCATCTGAGAAACTTATCTATATTTGAGTTTGAATTTTTTTTTATATACTATCTAAGGAGGCTTATTATCTAGTAGGAACCTTTATTTTCAAGATATACTTTGTCCCAACCTTTTTTGAACAGTGATTTTTTATCCACCTGTGATAGAGAGGTAACTTATAATGGATCCCAGATTTTTATATATCCTAATAGAAACTGAACTATATTGTTTTAATATGATATTTTCCAACAGCCACACCTAATTAAAGGAATTTTACTAGTATACATCTTTTATTACCCAAAAGACCATATTCCCTAACAATCATTTTGCCTTGTAATGATGAGAGGATTTTGAAAGTAATAGGAATTCTTGTTTATTATGATATCCTTCGTTAACTTTCAGGAAAATACATTTTCAACTATAATCAAAGAGTTGGAGCTTAGTATGAGCTAGAAACCATTTAATCTTATTGTCTAATTGAGATAAAAAAGAAATCTTAGTCTTGAACTTTGCCTGACTGGAATGATAAGAGAGAAAGATTTCTGTTTGAATAAAAAATAGCTTTTTTACTATTTGGAAACTTGTTACTTATATCTTATTGGCCTTATAGTACTTGATCTGTAGGTTAAGCCAATTGGAGAAACAGGACAAGAATGAAATACCAATCAACTCTTTCTATTATTAATGACATTATCAAAATATATGAAGTGACTAATAGGTACTTGTTTATATTCAGCTACTAATATGTTTAATGTCTACCAATCATATTTTGCAAGAAATTGTGTTACCTAAAATTCAGAATCAAACTGCGGTAGACAAAATTCCTTAAAAAATCAAAAAATTTTGGGTGACTATAAAAGAGAAGAAACAGTAGGCAGATACTTTGAAATATGACTAGATGTTTATCATCTTTTACTACAGATAATCTCTATAGATATGCTTCAATATGAAAGGCTTCAAGTATTATACTATTAGTTTTTCTTCTTTTTAAAACTTTCTTGTTATAGGTAGTAAAGGTGTTTTTTAACTTTTCTAGATTACAGGATATCAAGTTTTTGTTTGAAAATGAATACAAACAAGAAAAGGGGTTTGGAAGTATATTTTAAAGTAAAACTTTAAGTTGATTTAAGGATAGTATTAAGACTTTATTAGTTAAGAAATAAAAAAATTTCTTGTCAACATCTTTTTTATATATGAGCAGAGAATCAGTGAAAAGAGTATTATTTTAGTAATATGCATTTTCTAATAAAACTTTTTATATTTCTTATTCAAAAATTTTTTGTAATATATATATTTAAATTTATATTTTTTAAGAATTTTTTGAATTGTTCTAATTTAATATTTATTTTATTATATTTTTTACGATTTATATATATCTACAACTATTTTATATTTCTTATTTATTAATTTAATTTTCTAATAATAATATATTTTCTATATATAGTAAATTTATATAAATAATCAGAAATATGCATATTTTCTAATTTGTTGGTTTTAAGATATTTTTTTTTGGTTAAATATAGTAGAATAATAAATAACATTATCAAGTTTAATAGCAAACTGCCATAAATTATAATTTTTTTTTAACAAGGTGAAAAACTTTAACATTTTTTTTATAGATAATTATTTTGAATTGCATTTTATAATTTTTTTAAAAGACGCCAAAATTGCACAGCAAATATTCATCAATTTTATTATAAAAATTTTTTTTATGATTTTCACTATATATACGGTTAATTTCGCCATGGCCTGATCTGATCAAGGTTTAAGATCGATGATCAGGTGTTGCGTTCTTATTTAATAATCCAGATTTCAAGTAATATTATTTATTTGTGAACTTGATTAAATATAAATTTGAATATAATTTACATAATAGGAAGTGAATTAAATCTGCAGTAAAAAAATGCAAAATAACATTCATTACATCATTCCGAAAATTCCATGGGAACCGAATTAATCTTTCCATCCACGATTGTACTTTTTATCTGTTCAGGAATAGGTCTTTCAGCATAGTCTCCATCTTCGCCTAATCCTGGTAGATTAACATTAATCGAAGAACTTTTGGAAGTCAATATTTCAACTTCAAGGCATTCTTCAGATAAATATATTTGACCGCTATCGGTTTTATCAATTACAATAGTTGGCGTCTTTCCTTGAATTTGAAGTTGAAAAGATTTGCAATTTACGACATCAACAGTCGAAACTGTAGAATCCAAAAGTAGACCAATTTTCTGACATGAATCTAACACAAAATCAAAAGAATTAATATAAAATCAATATAGGATAAATTATAATATTGAATATATGAATTTACCAAGGGTAATTGTATTAATTTTTCCTTTAACTTGTATTGTTGAGTTTTTACAACCATATATATATATGGCATGATTAATGGCAGTTTCTTCAACTACTATGGAGTCATTTTCAAAATTTTCCTATGTAAAAAATCTATTTTAGTTAATGTATATTGTACTAGCAAGTCCTATAAAACAATAACCTACAATCGTCCATTTAATACCCTCGAGTATCTTTCTGGGGGGTTTTTTAAGAGATAATGATGCAGGTTTTGGTGGTGCAGTAGGCCCTCTCTTTTGAAGTTTAGTTGCTGACGATAAAAATATGGCAAGATAAGAATATATATTATCCAATTAGATGAAGAAAGGAAAGCTTCATAATAGTACCTCCAACGTCGGAAACCGTACCGCCTGCTCGTAAACCTGGGTTTTTGTGCGTCATTTGGCTCTTATCAACTTTCTTCAAAGTAGATGTAATACCTTCGCCACGATTGATTTCGGCAAATACCAAACTCATGTCAACCGAATCATTTTTAGCAGATGCACCATGGTCTAATATAGCTGGGGGTGGAGGTGGTGGAGGCGGAGGTGCACCTGTTGACGATGGCAAGGATGCACTCTTCAATTCTGTAGACTTTCGACCAATAAATGTTTCTGGGTCTGCACCCTAGAAATTCATTATCAGGGTTAGATAATGGAAACTAGAACAAATATAAACAATTGTACAAGACCTTTGGATTCCAGGCAAGGCCTGTGGTGTGGAATTTCTTAACATAATTTTGAAGCTCTGTTAACAACAGAATAAAACTATTCGCCCAGTCGACGTGAGAACGATCCCTTTTAAATATAGAGCATTCGGTTTATAAAAATTTAAAAATTGGATGTTGAAAACACTTATGATCTCATACTTGTCCTTAAATTCTGTAATTACACGATTCGCGTAAAATTGAGAACTTTCTTTCAGGTCACCAACGTGAGGTGCAGGTTTTTGTTCAATAGCAACCCAACCCAGCGCACCTATACCTTCACTGACCGTAGACAGGTGATTGAAAAAAGGAGATGGACGATTATTTTCTGTGTATGCATAGACTTTTTTGAGAGCTTGCTGAGTCGGTCCAATCAATTCAATAGTTTTAGAAACTTCAGGTTTTTTGCTTTGTGTAGAAATATATATAAAATCGCGCTGGGCTACAAAGGCATCTTCAACAGAATGACTCTATAGTTTAGACGATATTAGACAACAAGCAGTAAATATCTAAGACATAATATTAGAAAATTTAATAAATAAAATTATATTATAAATGTGTTATGGCTTAACCTGATCAAGAACGAGACCGCCTATGGTTTTAGAGAGTTCAAGAAAATTTTTCAATGAACCTTCAATTAATTCGTCATATGCTTCAAGAACGGGTAAAAGTTCTGATTTTGATGCAACGACATTGCTAGAAGGTGAGGTAAAATTATTCACACTAACATTTGAACCACTAGAAGTAGCTAGGTCTTCTAGTCGAGAAGTAGCTGCTTCTAAGCGTTTGATAAGAGTCGTTAGAGATTGAAATTCGGCCATGATTTAAGAAAATGAGTATACCAGTTTGCCATAAATAGCTGGTTAATGTGTTGATCGTAATTCTCTGCAAAAACTGAGTTATTACATTGTAATACAAGTTTTTCTGGAAAAAACAAGAAAAATATCAAATACATGATATAAAGAAATTATCAAATAAAGAAATTATAATCAAACAGTAAAAGGAATATGAACTGTTAATACAAGAAGTATTAAAAAAAAAAAAAAAAAAAAAAAAAAAAAAGAGAGAAAAAAGTAAATAAGATTTGAAGATATAGTTGATTTCAAAGTTTTAATCCACTTATTATGTTTTGACTTTGTCAATTTTTAAATCTTTAATTATTTAATTAAAAATTATAAAATTTATATATTGTATGATTTTTTTATTAATTTATAACAAGAGCCAATCAAAATTATTTGAAAACAAAAAAATTTTAACAATAATAAAACTTCAAAAAAAAAAATTTAAGAAATAATATTAAAGATTAAAATTAATTAAGTTAAAATTTATAATAAAAATATAATAAGTGAATTAAAACTTTTGAAAGCAATTATAATTTATAGAACAAGTAATTAAAATAGTTTTTAACAAGTTTTTGATTAAAAAAATAATAAATATAAATTAAATTTTATCAAATATAAAGAAGTACTTAAGTTAAATATTTTATTAAAAAAGATTATAATTTCAAAGAAAATTAAAGAGGTATAAGTTTTAAGTATAGTTACTTATAAATATAATAATTTATATGGCTTTAATTATTAAATTAAAATTATTATATTTAATATAATTTTAATAAAATTTTAAAAACAAAAAGTATCACACTCTTTTCACTAATTCTCTAATCACATACAAAACAAAATTTTGCAAAAGAGGTTTTGTCCCTTCTTACTAATAAAGTCTTAATACTCTCTTTAAATCAATCTGAAGTTAATTTCAGAAATCATCTTATTTCCTCTCCTTTTTTGTTTATATCCTATTTTATACAAATATCAATTTTTCGTAATCAAAAAGATTGAACAACCATCTTTTTTACTAATGACAAAAAGGTTCTAAAAAAAAAGAAGAACTAATGTACAGTTGCCTCACACTATAGAGAAATATTACATAGTCTTTTGTAAGTACAAAAGATTCACTTTTATCTCTTGTTATTAATAATGGATCTTTAAAGTATTTGGTATATAAAATTTTGTAGATCACTTATATCCCTTTTTGAGAAACAAAATTTATATTTCTTCACTTTAATAGGGATAAAAGTCGAGAAATATTATAAATCAATGATTTAAATAATAGAGAACAATTATAGATAGTTTTTTTATAGTTATTAATTTAAAATTTTTAATTTTTCCTAGTAAAAGATATTTGACTTTTGTCTCTGCCTCTCCCTTTAGAGACCCATCTTTACTTATTACCCCTTGTTGAGCTATAAGAGTGCTCATTTCAAGATTTTTTTAATAAATTTTGCCTATCTCAGTTTGACCCTGAATTTTGAGTAGCACAAAGTTTCTCGTATCATGATTGAACACAATCAAACATATTAGCAAAAAAGAAATAAACAAGTTTTCATTGGTCACTTCACATGTTTAAATATATTTCTTTAGCTCTATAAGAACCTAAGATCCATTATAAGTCATTGAGTTAGTACAGGTGAATAAGAAACACTGTTTATTTCTACATCATTGATGAAATAAAAGAGAAGTAATATATCTCTTTCTCACTTATCTAGAAAAATAAATAAAAACAAGACTTAAGGGAATATAGAACAAGGACAATATCTTAAAAGTATTATATTTATCTTTTATCACAAGCTATTGGAAGATCAGAGAGATCTTAAAATCATTTGTATCTAATTATCAACATCAACTTGTAGTTGTTGGACCAAAAATATCCAAAGAACATATCAAGATTGTAAACAATAGTTCAATTTTTATAGATAATAGTACTTTGAAAAAAAACAACATAGTATTTATCATGTTTGTCAATGCATATGCTGAAAGTATCAAAATTATTCTTTCTAGAATAATGTTATCACAATGGTAAAAAAGAATAAACTGGCAAATGATGGGTTCTAAACTTTTTCTTTATTTTACTTCCCTTATATCCTAGAGTTTCCATGAGATTCTCAACTTATTATTATTCAAAAGAACATTTACAGAAGTTCCCATACTAGATAGAATATAGAAGAAATAAAATTGGAACTAATAGATAATAACTGAATATAATTAAACCATTTTCCTCAATTCTCTGGTATCTTTTTTATAATTAAAATCTTCATCACTGTTTAAGCTTGTACAGTCTTGTCCTCTTATTTATAAGAATAGTTAACTTGAAAAATTTGATAGGGTATCAAATATAATTTTATCAAATGGATCTTAAACTTTGACAAATTTCCTGAAAAGTAGAACACAACTAGAAACATAGTTTTTTTTTTTTTTATTTTTCTATTATACATATTTAAAATTTATTTTAGTATTAGTGAAGCTATACACTAATTCTCTGATCTTTAAAGAGATAATCTAGCCACAAAATAAAGTAATTCTTAAAAGAAATCTTTTATTGGTTTTATTTTATTAGACAAGAAAATTCAGAATATATAGTATTTGAGTTAACTCAATTCCTTCTATCTATAAGTTTCAATAAAGTATAGTAAAGCTAACATATAAAAAAAAAATAATAAAATTTTAAAAATATTTTTTAAATTAATTGCTAAGCTGAGATAGATCTATTACAAGAATTGCATAAAGAAAGGTCTCTAGTCTGATTATACAATTTATACTCACACATTTTTCTTGAATTGGATAGAAAAAAAAATCTTAAGACCCCACTTTTAAAACTATAGTAATTGTTTAAATATTATATAATCTCTCTATTCTTGTAACCTCCAGGAACCCTCTTAACTATTTTAACTTAGAATATTCCAATATGATGTTTACTTAAATAAAAAATCCATTAAACAAGACTCATCTGAGATACTATAGATAATAACAAAGAAGACAGAAATTCTTTCTGAGGTTCAAATAAAAAGTATTAGAATATATGAGTAGTTAAATTAACTCTTAAGGATTTAATTTAGCATATAAGTTAGTATAACAAAAAAAGACTAATTATAAATAAACCTATTAACTATATCAATATTACTGTTTATGACTATTATTAACCACTGATCCTTAGTTGGGTCTACTCATTTTCAATGTAATAACAAGTCCAACTAGAATAACTGTAATAGATTATCATTACACTAGTTAAAATTATATTATTTGACTACTGAATTATTACCAAATTTGATAAAATTAATAATAAAAAAATCAATAAATTATTTATAATTATTGTTACTTAGCATTAAAAATATTGGCAAAAAACTGACAAAAAAATATTGATATACTGTAAAAAAAAAATTCAGTATAAAATCTAATAATATTAGGACAAAAAAATTTTTGTATACTGTGACAAAAAATTTTTTTGTATATTGCAATAAAGAATTTGATAAAAAAATTAATACTGTTGCAAAAAATTAAAATTTAACAAAAATATTTATCCTTGGCAAAAAATTTAACAAAAAAATTGATACTGTAGCAAAAAATTCAGCAAAAAAATTGATACTGCAATAAAAAATTTAGTAAAAAAATTATTGCAAAAAAAAAATTTGATACTATAATAAAAAATTCAACAAAAAATTATTGTAACAAAAAATTCAAATTTCATAAAATTTATAAAATAAATTGACTAAATTATTCATCATTTTTCTCTTTCTCCTCTTTCTCTTCTTTTTTA